CTGGCTACAGCTTTTTTATCCTCTGTGCAAATAATCTGTTTAAACATTCTTGAAGTTACTTTTAAGAGCCTTTGAGGGAAGGGTGGAGTACATAGAGAGTAAAACTTTAAATAAAACATTTAGATTATTCAACAATATTTGTTGGATTTGGTTGGCATATGTTAAAAACATGGAGGCACACCTCTGGCATGACATTTTATAAGCGAACACTGTATCTAAAATAGTGTATTATTGTGTGTTTCTTGACTTTAACTTTAAGCTTGCAGCATAGGCTTTCTTCTCTTTATAGCACTACTCAGAAAAACAAATCCTTCTTGTGAATGGGATCCATTGACCCTAGCTGAAACTGAGTGACACCCCATGATGCTGTGCCAGCACAAAAACGGCTCATTTGTTTATAAACTGACAATCAAAGGCAGACCAGCCTTGAGAGGCCTTGAGAAACAAAAAATGGGTTTGTTCTGAAACCTCAACAGAACTGAAAAATAGACTTTTCATCCATGCATGAATGACATTTGTATTGGGTAAGAATTTTTTTGGGTTAATTATTTTTTTTTGCTCAGAGAAAAAGGCTAGGTAAATATCAAATTAGGATCTCCGGGAAAGGTATCATGGTTGCAGAAGTTATTTCCATGTTCTTCTTGTTGCGGCCACACAAAAATAGAACTGCTTTGAACATTTAAACACAAGATTTTAAAGGAATAGAGTCATGAACCAGGACAATAGGAAAAAAAAAAACGTATTAGGCCATTGATTTTGTTCTTTTAACCACACACATAAAATGAATCCCATTCACCCCATAGTTTGTCAGTATTTAGCCTTTAGAAAAGTATAAATGAACAAGATTATAAGCAGTAACAGCAACTAAATGAGTAAGCAGGTTCTTAGTTATTAATAAACTTAAAAGTTATATTCTATGAACAACAATTGTTGGAAATTGTTGGGATTAACTCAAATACTCCATGATCACATGAAGCAAGCTAGTTTTAAAGCAAACAAGCTTTGCTGATGGCACATTTTTAGGTTATTTTTTAAAGTAAAAACTAATGTCTGATCTCAGGCCATATTAGTGACCATTTCAGTTTCTGTTTCAGAACTGCAATATTGGCCTTCTATTTTTTTCTGAGATCAATCTATGTAAAACAATGGTTAAAGTCTAAACAGTACAGTTAGACTGGTGGTTCTTATGAGCAGGGTGGATGGCACATTTTTATTTTTGTCTATAGTTTCCTGTTTTACAGGAAACAGAAGTCTGCAAGGACATCTGCTTTTAATTTCTCCTGGTTCACTTGGCCGCCCAACCTCCAGTCCAATGTAGTGTGTTTTTGCAAGACCCAACTTTCTGATTATATTTTATCACAGAAATAGATTTATGCTAAACCAGTGAATGGAGCAGTCTGCTGATGATGACTAATCATTTGGTCTGATAGTAAGACCTAGGTTTAGGTTTTAAAAGGACTTTTTTCATTTTTTTTGTACTGCAGGTAACTTTTGTGGTTAACTTCTGACAGTCCCGCTGTTCTTCAAGCTGTGTTTCAAATGTTAAATGAGCTATAACATCTGTCAGCAAGAGCACTCCACAGGAGGCAATTAGGTGAGTGACCTGGACATTGTTTGTTTGCTCTTTTATGGACTGACTGACTGAGTGACTTACATGGTTTGTTGTTTTAAAAAAGGTTTGAGTTACATTTAGCAGATCATTACCGTCATTTAGAATTGCAATCTGTCTTCAACATCAATGTTTTTGAGCTGTAAGACTGATTTAGCAATGTAAATGAAATACAGGAGAAATGTAGTTTTTACCCTTTAAAAGGGATGTTATTTTTGTGGCAAATGTCTGGAATCAAGTTTGTTGAAGCTAAAAGAAAGTATGAAAAGCTATACCTATTAAATCAAAATGTCAGCAATCAGCGGAGGTCATTCCTGAAGGGGAAATCAAACTTTGATCAATATCAAATGTAATCGTCTGTGATTGTCTAGAAGCTATTTGGTTTGTCAAATACTTTCATTTACATTAACTATTTGCAATAGAAACATTGTAACGTTTTCCTCTGTTATGAAAACAGCTGAACTTTCAATGATGTTATTCAAGAAATAAACAGCTTTATCTCTTATTTCGCCTATTATCCTGCACACGTACATGAGCACACCAAGACCTTGCCCCACCTTAAATGAAAGCACAGGGTAAATAGTCAATTAGCTATCATTTCCTGTTGACAGAACAAATCTATTAACACTCATTTCCTTTACTTCTAAAGGGTCTCTTATTGCCTCACTTTCCTGTTTGTCTGCATTAACCAACATAGCAGCTGTTGTTACACAAGAGTTGGATTAAAAAACTTCTAATAGCAGTTTTCATAAACGAACATGAGAACAAAACAAACATGCCAAAGAAATAGCAGGGATCTTTTACGCCCACTTACTGTTTTGCACTTTAACCATGGCACACTTTCATGTTGATGAGGTTGAATGTCAATGCTGGACTTAAAAAAGTTTATTTTTAACACTGCCAAAGTTGAGAGACCAGTTACGTACAGGCTGCTCTCCAAAGACTCTTTGTAGATTCTTTGCCGCCTACCTCGTTTTGTTTATGCTTTATGGACCTTTGAGGATGTTCTGAGACATCCTTTGGAGATCATCTGAGGTGATTACTTTTTAAAAATGTTGTTATTGTATGTTTTTACTTGCTGCTTTCGTTTTCACTAGATCCCTGTGTTGCTCGATGTAGTTTTTCCTCAAACAGCCATCCTCAGATGTACATGTTTCCTAAAGGCCGTATTTCTACTTCTATTCCAGTTAATGGTAGTAGTTTTAATAGTTTTCTCATCAGTCATCTTTAGATCCTTGTCTTAATAATTTGTCCACTTAGATCTTTTTCTGATTCCTTACTGTAATGAACTTTATATAGGAGTCAATTATTTATATATTTCCCAGCTTCAAAGTGTACAAAATACTACTGCATGTTTTTTAACAAGTACGTGAAAATTAACCACATTTCCTTGATTATTTAGCTTCCTTACACTGGTTGCCAGTAAATTTTAGGATTCATTTTAAAATCCTTTTATTTGTTTTTAAAGCTTTTAATGAATAGTCCCTCTATCTGTCTGAGCTATTACATTCTTACACACCCTCCTGTTCCCTCAGGTCAGCTGATCAGTTGCTTTTTAAGGTCCAAAAGACAAGTGCAATCTCTGTGCCAGCCACCAAGCTATGTAAGTCCTTCTTTTGGACATAAGACAGGCCTCTTCACTCACTGTTTTTAACTTAGACAACTATTATTGTCATTTTGTGTGTACAAAATGAAATTTCGTTATGTACAGCTGTCAAACAGGTAGTGAGCAGCAGCTTAGCAGTGAAATTAACATTTCCATTTCATAAAGCGCACCAGTGATCGAATGTACAGTAAACAGTGTGGGAAAGAAAAAACATGGCACAAGAGCTATTGATGTGGAAGTTCAGAGTAGTGCAAAAACAAATATATATGGTGCAAAAATGCAGTAGAAAAACCTTTTTAAGTTAAAGGAGAAGTTCGGTTTTTAACACTTTTAGCCCATTTTCTGTAGTGTCCAGGATGAAATCGAATGATCGACACCAAAATTTTGACAATTGGTCCTGTCTCTGCTTTTTGGCTCATTTAGAATCACCCCCTGGCTGCTTTAGAATGGCTTCCATAGAGCATGTCCGATAATGTCCTTAAAATAACCTTAAACGTTCTTTTTTTTAAATATGCTACTCACCGGGTCGCCAGCGCTGTTCAATGACGTTCCAAAAAAAGTTTCGTAAAGAAAAAAAGTTCCTGTAGTGTTTTATTTAGCATTTTGTAAATCCCATTGAGTTCTGTTGGAATAGTCAATATTCCCCTGCCACCGGAAACGGAAATGGGGCCTGTTTACACAGTTGTAGTCTTTTCGCTTCACTCTGTGTACTCCGACGTCGAGAATCAAGAATCCACCTTTCGTATTCCATTTTCAGAGTTTTTTTAAAGTGTTTAACAGAGACGTTAGCACCTCGAGGGCGGAGTACATTATTTGTCTATCCCCATCCCCCAATACATCTTCCTACACCTTATTTAATTGATTTTATTTTATTTTTCTATTGTATATACTGTGTCTAAACATCCTCTTTTTTCTTATATGTGCAATTTTTCCTACTACTGGAAATACAATTTCCCGAAGGGAGTAATCCCAAGGGATTAATAAAGTCAAGTCTAAGTCTAAGTCTAAGTCTAAGTTATCAGTGTGATGCAGAGTCTCGATTTGTGACTTGATTTGTGTTTTTTTTTAACAGTTCAGCAGTCTGATGGCAGTGAGGGAAAAGCTGTAACAGAACCTCCTGATGCTGCAGTGGATGCTGCAAAGCTTTACTAGAGGGCAGCAGGGAGAACAGTCCATCTTTGTTCTTTGGCTTTTGACACAATCTAAGAGGTTTCAGTTTGTTTTATTGCGTCCGTTTTGTAATATGTATTTTATATTCAATCTTCTCTATTTTATAATTGAATCATATTTAATGATTGTGTGTGTTCTTTGGTCCTGTCAATGTTTAAAGTGCTTCATAAATAAAATTGGTATGATATTCCTTGTTAACTTTATTTTATTTTAGCATATATTAACGATAATTTAATTAATGCTTTCCAAAAAACTATTCCAGTCTAAATCTGGGTCTTATACCACACAAGATCATTTAAGGAGCATGGAACTCTAAGTCTGTTGTATGTTAAAGAAATAACAATAGTGATTTTTCACAAATTTTTATTACAGTAAATTGGCATCAAACACAAAAAAAGTCTAAATAAATATTTTATTGTATAAACTATTACAATTGACTCATTCCATATATGAAATAGTATTACCCTAAATACTACCCTGTACATGTTCTACATGTGTAGACAGTTTCATTATAAATGCAATATTATCATTATCTTTAAACATTAAAAAAAAAACATTTGTGTACTGTTGTAGCAAAAACATTTATAAAAAAATCATAAAAAGTGTACCTGATGCTTAACAGGAAAGCTAGTATAGTTGAATAATTTAAACCTAATGATAAACAAAAATGCATGGTCATGAACTCTTTCAACAAACACATAATTCAAAGCAGGTAATAACACTGATAATATACAATACAATCATATGTCAATATCACAACTTTCATTTTAGTGTAAAACATGACACAGGCTGTGGTGGTTAGTTCCTGATGTCCTTTAAAAAATATACCACACATCTATGGATTAAATCTTAACTTAAAAATAACCAAAATGCTTTTGATATTTTTTTTATTTTGATAACTCTAAAATAATTCTAAAGTATTTAAAATAATTATGTACAATTTCGTCAAGTAATATATTTGTGAAGCATATTTTTGTACATGTTGAATAAATTAAATTGTGAAGATTTCTGGTTGTGTTCATAAGGCCTATAGTCGCTGACAAACACTCTTACATGAGCAAGCACACATGGACATGTATACTCAGCAAACCCTGCTAAAGAGAAATGGTTCAAGTAGTGTTTATAAATGATATTTTATGTTCAGAAAATTGTATGTCTGTTGCAGGAATTGAAAAGATTGGTAGGATAACAAACATGGTATTGCTAAGAGAATTAGTTTGGATCCCTTTTCTTTCAGTTGCTTTTTCTTTTACTTTTCTGTGCAGTCTTATAGCTCTAAAATAAAATAAAATTATAAGAATCTGTTTGTTACAAAAAACACAAAAAATGTTTTTAATTTCAGTTCTTACAATGTATTTTTAAAACAGCCAAATAGCTACATGTAATGCTCATTTAACATGTCCGTCAGCTTATTGAAGTCAACCCTCCCGGTTTTAATCAGACCTTATATTAAATTGAGTTCATTAAATGCTTTTGTGCTAAATGAATTAACAATTTCCTGCTAGAGGACTGCAGAGTCTTTCTGAATTATCAAAGCTATAACTGTGGAAATCAAAATAATCCTGACGTATGGAAGGGAGGAGAAAGGTGAGGAAGACGGTAGATGATGGTAGTCATGAGTGCTGTAGATTCTGTTTGGTGGCTCCACTGTGATGTAACCATTGATGATTCGAACCAAGGGAGGAGGCGGGGACTGCACCATCGAACTGCAAGATGGAGTAACAACAAAAACATAAATTAGATATATGCTTTAATCCTTAGGTTTTCATGTAACCAAGAGGATTTCTGAATATCTGCAGACAAGATCTGATTACCGTAGCTTAGCTTATACCCACTGATTGTGCCTCTTTGATAAGTGATAGTTTTTGTTTATTTTAGTTATAGACAGATACATATATATGCATTCAGACAAAAAATAATGTTTTAAACATAAATCACATCAAACTTTTCTGTCTGAGCTGAGTGAGGATCATTGAAATTACCTATATCTATAAAAAAAAATGAATACTGACACATAGATCACTTTTTTATATTTTTAACACATTTTCTCTAAATTGAGAAGTTTACCTGTAGTTAATTGGTAACTGGTAGAATTATATATTAAACTCAATAACCTAGAATAAAAGGATTTGGTTATTTAGGGGGATTATTTTCCTAAATGTTAGCAAACGTTGTAGCTATAACTGGGGATGAAGGGGAAAATCAGGAAGAGAAGTGGGGATCCTATTTTTTTTTTCTTTTTAAAAATATGCTCAAAACTGCTTTGGAAAACTCCTGATTGTGTGACTATAATCTAAGCAAAGAAGCCTTTTTGATACAATGAAAACAAAGTTCTGTCAATTAAAATTAACCCCCTAACATTTCATAACTATTCATACATTCAGAATAAACGACTGCTCCCCAGGAATGGCAGCACACTGCTCCCCAAAGGTATAGGTTAAATGCAGAGAGTAATTTTCTTTGCTTTGTACTTGTGACAGTGTCAGACAATAAAGTAGAATTCTATTATGTTCTATTAATATATTAATAAACAGAATTGGTTTAAATTGGTCTTGTGCATTTTTAAATGGCCCAAGAACTATAATTTTATAAATGAATCACTATTGTATTACATTATTTAATATCACATTTGTTCTTTCAGCAGTACTTGGGTTTATAAAGCTACTGTCTGAAGACTAAAGCAACCAGGTTTGGCATTTCACACCATGTCCTGCAACAGCTCCATCAGAGGTTGTGCCTCTGTAGAGGACAACCCTGTCTACTCTGACCATGTTTCCTTTTGAGACATAAAAATTACAGACATGTAAATGAGTGAGCGTTGTAGCATGCATTAGCAAACAGACGGCTTCCTTTTGTGTTTAAAATTCTAGTACTTGCATAAAGAGAGAAAAAAATTCTACAGCCATAATGTAAAGAACATTTTATTTAACATTTTAATCCTATGCATACATTTGTACATTTGCTCTTTAGGTTGTCATATTCCACTCACACAGTTTGAGTAGGTCGGATGAAACTGGAAACCCTTAATGGTTTGTTAGGGCCATTTACTGTATTGGTTGACCTTATGACAAAAGACAGAAAACAGAAACTTGGAACAAACAGCTCCTACTGATAAATGACTGCAGGATATGGAAGTCCTACCCTGTTTGACAACTAGCATGAAAACAAACTCTTGCTGTCACAAAACATACAGAAGTTCTTTCTCATGGGAGGTAGCTCGTTTTTTTTCTTTTTTTTTTTCAAAAGGATGAGCTTGTTTTGTTCTCCTGTAAGTCCCTGCCTAGAGCTAAGTTGAGAGCCAAGTCAGATTTAACTGTCAAGTTGCTATTTTTATCTTGAAGACACTGATACCAGAAACAGAAGTGTGGATCTAATGTTTGTTTTCTGTCACTAAATGAAAAGGATGGTGATTTGATATCTCAACAGTTTGTTGGGCGTTTAAGCTTTGTGAGCCCTCAGCATCATATCAGGAAGTTCCCCACCTTCTTCTTCAAATCGTAATCTTAAGCCACAGCGAATACAGTAATGTTTCCATCTTCCTTTTATTAAAGCAATTCTAATTTTAATAATCATAAATATCATACAACTGTGGTCCAAAGTATACTTAGAATCATAATGTGCCTGAATGTCTCTAACTTTGGGTTTAAATTTTTTTTTTTAGGACAGGATGGTTAAATAACTTTGTGTATTTTTCAAAAAGAGGGCATTCAGGCTTACATTTACTGTGGATTTTTCTTTGTTTCAGTTTCACAAAGTCTAAATTAAACGAGAGGGGGGGAATAACAAAAAAAATAGATACAGCACAAGCTATGATGGAAAAAATATTAAAAAAAATAATAAGGGAGGGAAGAGAGTGAGAGATAAAAACGGCACAAGAGGAAGGAAGGTAATAATGAATGAAAAATAAGATGATAAGGAAGGAAAACATTTTCGTTTGGTCAGACCTTAACACCTAAAAGCTGCTGGCTTGTTCATGTGAACAATGGTCTGCTTTGATACTATTAAAATCTGTGTAAATTAGATCTATAGTACTGCAATCTACATCTCATCAATGACTGTGCATATTGTTTGAGCATAGATCTGTCATGTAGAAATCTGACTGTTTTACATTAAATTTAAAGTTAACTAATTATTGTTTAAAAATACAAACAAAATATATATAATTTTTTTTAACCTGGAAACAAACACTTTAAATAAATCCCTAAAGTTCTCTTGTCTTTTGTACTTCTGTCTCTTTACCTCTCTTCTATTCGGACCCAGAGGTCATTAAAATGTCGATTCCGTTGTTTCTTTTGCTTGTTCCGCCTCTTTTTCTTCAGCATTTTCCTCTCTGCTTTCTGTAGGAGATCCAGGCTGTCTGCAGGAAGGAGCATGTGGGGTAATGGATCCTCCTCCAGGGGAAGCCCATGGTCCTCCTCTTTGTGGGGGAGTTCATGAAGAAAAGGTTCCAGTAGAGTGAAATCATCATGGTGATCCTCTAGTGCTGGGGAAGCAGCTTTTAATAATGATTTCCTAAATGTCAAAAAACACAAGATGATAGATTGAAGAATATGAATGGAAAATGTTTTTTTGAATATCATACAAAAAGGATCAACATTAAACATCTAAACATCGTTTGACAGTTAAGCTTTTTTTCTATTTTTTTTTTTATGTTTGCTTTCAGTTATTTTTTCTATTCCAGACATTTTGTTAAAAATTCCTACATTTATACATTTAGGGTCATGTCTCTTAAAGATACAGATGCTGAGAGTTAGTTAGATGCTGCAGATACTCTGTGACATTTCTGTGACATAATCTCCTTCCTCCTGGGAATTTGTGAACTATTGAAAGAATGGCACACCCATCCTAGAAGGCAGTGTTTCTGTTCTTACATTTTAGTCAGCCAAGACCAAATAAAGCTAAAGGGAAATCGGGATAGGCCACTGAAGACGGGCGACAAGAAGAATTGCTCCAGGTAAATTTTGAGAGAAAACACATTAAATATTTGGGGAACACATCACAAAATCTGAAAAACAAATTGAAATAAAAAAATAGAATTATCAAAGAAATCCCCAAATTTAAAATGCAAAATTGAAAACTAGGTTTTAATAATATGCCTTGTCAGTTACTTTTAACTACTGTATGTTGCAGTGAACTCCATGATTTCTAACTTGCATTTCCTCTCTTTACACTTCAATGTATTCCTTTTAGAATAACAATCACCAATAAAAAAAAAAGCAGCATTTCATGTCCACTAAGACTTGTTGTCAGATTAAAGATACATTTAGGAAACAGCAACCTTTAAGCCTGGATGGCGCACACTTTTCATTTAACCCATGTTTCTGTATTAAAACTTTTTTATTGGTCTGTTGTGAAATATTTTAAGTAATTAAATGCTGACCTTTTTTATTTTATTAGCTCCAAGTGGAAAACTAATCAACTAATGAACAAATAAGGAGTAAAAAATAAATCTGTATGTCATTATTCTATAAAATGTGTTTCACTTAGTAAAATGAGCCAGTAAAATATATTACATTTGTGTCAGGATTGTATTTGTAGAAAATGATGAGGAGTATACCACTGAAGTCAGAACCCAATTTATAGGTTTGTAAAGAAGCCCTGAAATGATCTTGCAAAATAATCCAGTAAAAGCATGCATGTAGTGGTGGTCCCAATAAACAGGAATAATAGGACCATCTGTGCAGGGTATAATCTCCCAGAGGTAAAGTACTTTCTGCGTACTAAGTAAACTGAGTGTGCTTATAAACACCATAACAATTACATTTGTTATAGACCCTTTTCCTGATATATACTGTATTGTTGCAACCCACTTATACTTATTGAGACAAAAGTGCAGTACCCGTAAGGAAAAGATCAGTTTTTAGGTTAAGTTTAGGACTAAGTTGTGAATTGAGATCTCCAAATGTATTAGACGCCACACATAAAGGATACCAAAAAAAATGAGTAGATCTATAGTGTGTTCTCTCCAGCCACATGTCAGACGCATCACACCACGCACAAGCCAATTTCACTCCAACATTTACGTCAGATGGGAAATAATAATAATAATAATAACCAACTTGCAGAATTTACAATCGGAGGAGTCCTGATGTTCCACCAAGCAATCTCCGTCCCTCTTACCAATCCACCCACTGGAAGATGGGAGTAGAAATCTGCTCTTTAGTTATGTACTGGTGATTATCAAGGTAACGGTTAGGGTCAGGATTAGGCCACATAGATCTATAGAGAGTGGAAGTCAATAAATGGAAAGCAATTCTTAGTCCTTGTCAAAGTAGAAGAACCGAATGTGAGAGTGTGTGTCCTCCTGTTTCAGGATCAGAGGACCAATTCCCTATCGACCTCAAATTGGGGACATTCAGGCTGCTCCTGCTAGGACTCTGGCTGCATTCATACTCATTACTAAGTTGTTGGGCAGAGCTTGCTATCTGTGTATAAATATCCATTTTCATCTTCCAATAGGCCCTCTGTTTCTGTTTTTGGTTTTTGTTTTCTCTTTTCAAGTTGTTAGGTTGATTATTCTGAAGTTCAACGAAACGTTGTTCTGTCTGGTGCTTGACTTTTCCTGTTTGACTTGTGACATTCAGGAGCTTTAGGCAGAAACCACTGTGGTTTGTGGCCAAACATCCTTCTTGTGAACTCGCTTTGCTGATTCATTAGGCCTCAGTAACCACACCCACACTGGACCGTGGCTGAAGTGAGCGTACACATGGATTTTAATGAGGTTTGGGTTCCTAGCAGCAACCGCATCCCAGCTGTACCACAGCCGTACATTCAGTGTGAAGAAGCTGTTAGGTGTAAGACTGAGGTGTAAATTTAGCTTAGGGTGAGCATAGGTTTAAGTATGCTTTGGTAATGATTAGGGTGTAGAAAATTAAAAAAATGACTGAAAAGCTATGAAAGTCATTTCACTTCATGAGGATCTTGTGTTGGGGGGTTGATCTATGCATCTGTATCTAAAGATTAATTTGTAGTCTGCTGTGTTGTCTCAGTTCTAAATCCCTGCCCTGACAAAAAAAAAGTGACCTAATTCTTTGTAGATAACTTTTATACTTGATGATATCCACACTTTTTAACCAGTATTCTACACATACTACGAAACTGCTTGCCTCACTGTAAACTATGCTTAAAATGATCCAGGATTGTGATCAACTGAAAGTAGTACGCATATTATGAACAAAAAATGTTTCATAATCAATGGTTTCTACTTATTATCTACAGTAAGTAGAAATACTGGCTATGTACTTTACTGGAGTCATTCGTTTTTTAGACTTTTTACAGATTTTTTTTATTTTTGCTCAACTTTTGACTTCTACTCCATACATTTTTAAAATAGACTCGTTAGTTTTGTGTCATTTAAGCTAATTCTCATTATGGTTTGTTGGTATTTAAAAAATAGTTAAAAAAATATATATAGTTTTTCAAGATGATGCATTGTCATAGCAGTTTGTCACTGTTGTCATTACAGTACTTATAAAACTAAGAAAATTACCGTAAGTATAAGGAAGTTATCATCCAATTGTAGAATAATATTCCTTTAATAGGGTAGTGCCAGGATAAAGTTTGAAGCATCTCTTCTTAACATTTTATTCCTGCATTACTTTAACTTTTATACTTTAAGCAGTTTTAAAAATTGTACTTTTACACTTTTACTTTAGTAAAAAACTTAAGTTGATATTGATGGATTTATACTAGCTTGAGTAATAAACATTAATACCTTATACACCTCACGTTAAAATACACATTACTAGTAAGCTCTCCCATAAATAGTAGTGTGTGCCTCTAATAAAGCTCTAAAATTAAATGTTTGATATCAAATTAAACAGCAAATAAGTATTATGAATTTCCTAAATTAATGTTATTAAGGTAATTATAAATGTAAAAGCAACTGGGAATAATTTTTCTGGACTTATGATAACTTAATGACAGATCAGGTATGACTCGGTGAGATGCTGTGTAATTTCAGCCTCATAATCCCTTATCAAAAATCAGATTTATTGTGTGAAAGTAGATTTACTCATTCATTCAAACACATACGGGAACAAGAAAGCAGATAGAAAGAGAGATAGCCACCCGCAGTGCTCCACGCTCCACTGGCTGCACAACATACTTCGCAGCAGGAGGTACAAACCATACTTAGGTTGGCCTTTTCAACACAGCTTCATTGGTGGGCCGTTGGGGAATTTGTCAGACTTATCGGCTACACAATCAAAAGCACAGAAGCAGTCAGAGACATGCAAAATCCCTGAAAGAATGAGAGCCGTCCATGAGAATTATTTCCGCTAAAAGTATGAAATGTAAACACTACGTCTACGATATTAATGAATCTGATTAGGGGCAACTTGTACCAGTATTTATGATCCTGGGAGTACAATGAGGGGTGTTCGGAAGCATATCAAAAAATAAATCACTGTAGTGAAAATTACAGACTGTGACCAACTGAAAAGACACAACTTTTCATCCAAACAAAACATTAAAAATGCTGACTGTTCATTTCTATGGTGTTGTTATCCTGGTCTTAAAGCAAAGGAGATAAATAAATCCCTTTTTTTTTATCTACAACAGGGTTAGTTCAAAATAGTCATACAAATTAAAATTAGCTTAGATTTTTTTATTTACTTAGTGATTTAATGTGAAAGAATGTGAAAGACTAATCAGAATTATCTTTGTTTGCCAAGTTTGTGTACAAAAACAAAGAGTTTGACTTGGTTCACTTTTACAGCTAGTAACATGAAAGGTTTGTGCAGTGAGTAAATGCTGCCAAAATGGTGGCAGGCATATGCATTAAGCTCCTTTTACTTTGATAGCTTTAAAAAAATCCAGTGGAGCAAACAGCCTTAAAAATTCAACCTTTTATAGGGAAGTTATTCCGGTTCTTTAATCTTTGTAAATTCAACTAGAGCTGGCATTAAGCTTGTTTCAAGCCATGCAGATGACGTCATGCGGAAAAAAAATTCTTAGGTCAAATGAGATCAAATTTGAATCTTTACTGATTCCAGTTCTTCAACTGAAGATGGTATGAGTTAGGGGGAAATAAATTGGGCAAAAAGGTTAAAAAAAAAAACTGGAGGAGACCTCTTAAAGGGCTAAAGGTTTATGATTGAGCTGTAAAATACCTTTAATATGTAATGGAGGATTTAGACTAATGAGGTTTGATTTTATATCAATGATCCAGTCAGAGTTCAGACCTGGATCAAATTAAAACAATCTGATGCATCATTTTCCCTTCAACTTAAAACGTACTTACAATTTCTGCAAAATTATCTTGTAATAAGTATCTGGTTTTGTTTAAATCTTGGTTTACCTCTTTATGGGCTGTCCAGCAGGGGTGTGCTCCACCTCATATCCCTGGCGGCGAAGGACATCGATAACTGTGTTGTTGCCAAGAAAGTGACCTGCAATCAAGAAAATAGAAATCTATGATTTCTCTTATCCAAACATTATGATAATGTACTGTAACCAATGAGAGTAGAATATTTGATATCAGTGTCTGATCAGTAAAGCACAGGAGTGCAGGAATAAAGCAGTGTGGAAAATTCTACAATGATGCAGGAAGAACACCAGGTGGAAAAGAGGTTATTATCATACAGCAATAGTTAATAATATCGATTAAGGACCTTAAAATAAGTAAAATCAAAGGGCTTGAATTCACAATATTTTTGATTCTTAATTAAAAAGTCCATTTATCATCAATTTCACAGCTTTAGACTCTGAAAAAACACCATGCAACCATTGTTGTCTTTCCAAGGCATGTCTTCATCTCTTCTCCATCTCAATTTTGATCATTTTCCATCTATTCCCTTCATAGGATTCATCCTTTCTCCACAAACCATTTTGATCTCCATTCAGCTCCATTTTTATCATTGACATTCCCTCTACTTGTCTGTCCCCTCTTTCCTGGTGTGACCCTCTCACCAAGGTGAAGTGGGACCACTAAGGCTTCAGGTTGCCGTGTCAAGAGGTCTCCGCTCTTCCTCTTATTCTAACAAAAGGGAGCAGTGACCCATTGTTTGGACCTGCTCAGCCGTGGCATCACAGAGCTATGTAAACAAAGAGCTCCAGCACTTTAATCTGGCCAAGAACCAGATAGAAATTGGCTGGCCTGGATGCACTATGGGGGCCATGTTGCTGTCACGGGGACCTGGAAAAAATGCTTTTACATAAGATTAAATGTGCAAGAATAGAATATGCAAAGGTAGGAATTGATCTCTAATTTATGCAAAAATATATCCTTATAGTTGATATTTATTTTTTCCAAACAATTACATTTTCAGCACCTTATAAAAACGTTTTTGCCATTTCTACCAATTTTACTTTATTAAGGAAATATTTATAAAATAAAATACATTGTTTAAATTGTGACTTTATTTTAATGTAGGAGTGTATTTGTTTAATCTGCATTATTTCCAAGTATCTGCAGGGTTTTTACTAAAGAACTAAATTTGTTGGCTAAATATATGAAACCCCAAAACTCTGAGAGAAGAAAAAGATGAGACTGAATCAAATAAAAAGAGCTAAAGCTTTTCAGCTTGCAAACATTAAGAAAAGGCTAATTTGTTAGTCAGGTCTAAGATGTATTAAACTCTACATCAGAGGACTGAGGTACTTGGTTCTGCTCGACTCAGTGGAGGCTGGATAGACTTCAGAAGGTCAAAAAGACACATTCAAATATTCACAATAACAAACACAAATGAATATAAAAAATATGCAAGTGCTCAAGAGAAACATAATGAAACCTTTTTTTTAAGTTGTTACAATGTTTTAGTGGTAAAGGGTCAAATAAAAAGACAATTTAAAAGAGATTTTTTTAGAAAAACTTGCAGAATGTCTCTTTAAACAGACGACACTGAATGGTCAAAAAAGTGACTTTCATTCAGATAAAGCAATTCTGTCTTTTAAATTATTGGGGTATATTACTTCTAATTATTGACTAAAATTCCGACCTCCTGTTTTCACATGTGTTTTCACTACAGGGCCATTTCTGGACTCAATAACTCATGGAAATTGAAATAGAAGAACACGCTCTTTTTGGTCCCTGAACATCATCTAATGTGAAATCACCATTTTTTTCTGCTGCAGTCTAATGCATTAGTTACAGACATTTCCTACCTTAAGCCAAAAAATGTGTTACTCAGCTCCCACTTTCAGCTTACAGTAAAACTTGTACTTGATATTTATTTACAGCCTCTCACTGAAAGCAGACCTGCAGCCCCCTGTTATTTGGAGCCCAGAACAGAGTTTTGGGCTTCCACATCTGGAGTAATCTGGCACAACATCTGACATGTATTTCCACTGATTATTTACTTAGGCTTTTTTCATTCATCTTAAATCGATGAAATTGGCCGGTGATATTTGCACCAATGCACAGTATGTTCACTGTACGCCTTTTAAGTTCCAGCCAGGGAGGATAGATGCTGGAGATAAAGACATGAGACTGAACTGAAAGCTTTCATTCATTGGACTCCCTAAATCCAGAAACCTGAAATGGACCACTTAGTATGGGAGTTACACATTAAGTCACACATTGCTAGTTAAAGGTTGATTTTAATAATGTTTTCTCCATTTCCTCAAAAGGAACAACTTTTAAAATTCTATAGAGGGGAAATGCTATTAATAAAACTTGTTCTTGCACAAACTATAGATTAAGAAAGCAAAACTCGCAAGTAAACTCATATGTAATAAAACATTAATACCTACGTTAAATATATTTTGAAGACAACCGTTAGTTTAGTATAAAATAACAATTTCCATTCAAGTGCATGAGATTACTGCCAATTTTCTGTTACTGCACAGCCGAGATTAAAGAGTAAAAGCAAGCACTCCTCTTCCTAGCGATTCTCTCTGGGCATTGTTTAGTATTTACTTTATTTGTACAAAAAGCTTTTACTTTATAGAGAAGGTTTAGCATTGTGACTTCAGAAAATTTTACCACAACATACAGTGGGGTATTTCCTAGGATTTCAATGTCAGGGATTAAGAGTAAACATGCCATAGAGAGGTACAGTAAGATAAGAAGCTCCAGCTGCCTTTAGACCCCCCCAACCTAGTCATATATGGAAAATAATTCCTTCATGAAAACATTGCTTAAACTCACAAAGTGCAATACATAAAAACAATTATTAGGCATATATATACCTTTAAAAATCTGAATTTTCCCGAACTTTTACAAGTTATATTTTAATAATACTCACACCTTAACTTAAAGCTGCATAAGGTGAGAGCCACAAAGGTTCTTCTTTTGAGGAACATATGGAATACCCTTAATGACAGCCTCGGATTATTAGAACATGTGGAAAGTCTTAAATAGTGTTCCTTTTCCATAGTCTTCAGTATTTACACTACAGCTTGAAACCAAGGCCAAAGCAGCAGTTCTCATAACATTACAGCAGGCTGGATAAACAAAAGCTATAGTCAGCACTGAGGCCTTTCCACCCCATACAGACGTTTCTTGCTGTTTATGTACACATTATGTCCTGCTAGTCTGTAGGGTCCCACAGCCTGTAGTCATCAGCCCTGTGCACAGAGGCAAGCCTTTTTTGAGGAAACCAGCTGTAAGGTGTCACTATACAATAAAACATAAATAGAACAATTAAGTGTACTTAAAATACTTACGTATATCAAAACTAAAAAAAGAACTGAATTTCATGACCTAATGTTACTGAGGATGACGTAATTAACCACAACATTTTAGTGGAAAAACCCCAACACTGGTTAGTGGCAGCCAAGTAAAACCTCAGGGTGTTCAACTGTCAAGGAGTCTAAACCATCCATAAAAGTGACGGTCATGACAAAAACAAATATGAGCAAAATCACTGGTTATTTTATGGCATAAAAATAATTATCCTGTGTGTACTCTTTAAACAATGCCATCTCTATTTAGAAATAAAGGCGTTGATCATATGACACTCTGACAAGTTATTTGCCCTGGAAGGACCGAAGAAATGTCTTAAATCGTGAATCATCTTCAATAATCAGGTTGGAGTTTGAATAATAACTAAATATTCTTGAAAGAAGATAGTATAACCATATGGGATGATATATATGAATATATATGTCATCCCATATATATATATATATATATATGTTTTTAAAGCATGCTTTGTATTAATTACTATCTGGCCATAAAAAAAATCTCGGAAATTTACTGAAGAATTATTGTAACATAAAGCTAAACACACAGATCTTGCCTGCTCATCAGACAATTCCAAGGCTGCTACTTCATCACTTAGAGAACCAAGCTATAGCGGTAATTGTTTTATATTGTCGGTGTTTTGTACTGTAGCAATATTCTCAAGATATCATCACCACTGCATTGTGTGCAACCAAAAAAGGATGACAAAGAGCAGCTACCGGTACTCTAAACTCCTGCTGCAAATAAATACAGTGTCACAATAGGGCCTCTTGCAAACAAAGATCTGTGAGCACTGGGCCCACTATGGCTACAACCATACAGCAAGTCTTGATGTGCAAACGTTTTGTGCTGTAATCCAAGGTTGTTGTTTTCTTTTATTTATTTTTTTGCATGGTCAGTCATACTACTTAGGATCAGTTCACGTTACCCAAGAGAGCAGTATGTTCAGAAGGAGAGTGTAAATGTCACACAGCAATACACTGTTTACAGATGTGATATTGGCTGTGACTGGTAGTGAAAATGCTCATTGAGCTTGGTTTAAAAAAAAAAGATTATAAAATTTTTGCCAGTGTCTCTATCTTATTATTATACCGTTGATGAAAGGGAGTGATAATATTATGGCCAAACTGTAAAAACAGGAAGGACGGTGAAAAAGAAGAGCAAGACTCTTTAAAATGGCTTTTGTGCAGCAGGGACAGCTATAATTTTTTAAAACTGTTTGTAGATTTTAAGGGGAGCCGGGAACAAAGACTAATATGACAGAACAAGAGGGGGTGGTGGAAGAGAAAGAATACTTCTTCTTCTTCTTGAGAGTGCCTTCTTCTGCCATCCTGTACTGGGGTAACAGCATCACAGCAAATTAATTAAAAAAACTCAACAAGCAAAAGGGTCGGCTCTGTTCTACATATAAAAGAGATTCAAATGTATTACTTTTTAGGTAAAAATATCGATATCAGGCATTCAGACTCCCATGAGAAAGATATTTTGCCCAGATTTTGGGATACATTTGTCTGCTGTTTAAATATAACCTAAAAGTTGACAAAAAGTGTGTGTTCATCATATTTGTTATGATGAACAGAAGCCCTAGCTTCATTTACTAAGAAAAGAGAAATAGGATGAAGGTTTGTTATGAGGTACCTACATAACATTTGTTTCATCAGCTTATAGTAAACATATTATAATATGAGTATTTTAGATTTCTGAGCATAACTGTACTAAATAATAGTGTTGAGCACTGATTCAACCATGTTTGAATAAAAATGC